GACCTGCGAGTTTATTAAACGGTTTCAAACACGACTACAAATTCAATAGATATACTGCCTTATTAGTACTCTTTATATAAAGATTACTAATGAGGACACGACTACAATAGATACTGCCTCATCAAAAACAGCATTGACACTCAAGAGAAAGAGAAGCTCAGATTGAACTTCCACTTATTGAGTGTGAGTGGCTTTTAGAATACGGGCGTAAGTCTTAATAATTGGATTAGCCCGCGTGCAGGCCCAAGGGAACTGATAGTGGGCCTGCAAGCAAGGCCCGGTATTTTGTACTTTCCGCGTTCGCCCAAGAACGCGGCATTCTGATTGGCTGTTTGCTGTTGGATTCTATAATTAGGTCAGTGATTCATCACAAATGCTCTCGATAAGCTTAAAATTCGAAAATTGATCACTTTTTTCGATTACAAATGGCACAAGAACAGACTGTTTATTGTTTACTTGAAGGAAGAGATGTTTTTGCCGTTATGCCAATAGGGACTGCTTGTCGTGAGGTGTTGGAATAGCAACATTACGACTGGGGTAAACTATAGTATTAAACCTTTACACTTGAGTTTCATTAATTTCAAACAGACCTGATACGTTATATGTTGCTCAAGAAAATGATCTTTTGGTTGATGTTGAGATGCAGTTGCATGTAAGCCTATTCGAAACACTTTGTGATTTACATGGCTTCGCTGAGAGAGCGAAACAGAAGACGGTATTAAATTGCCGTTTGAAACGAAACTCTGGACTCTGAACGCTCTCTTCTTTTGTAGAGTTCTTTACCAAATGAAATAACTGAAATAAATTTCGTATTTTCCGCCGCCAACAAGAATTGCACACACGATCTGATAAGTGAGACAATTTATTTATTTACTGTCAGAATATGTTTATACACCGAGTGTGTCAAAAACTGGAGAAATTTTCAAAGGGCCTTCAAAATAAATTAAGTTAACTAGGCATATTATGTTCATTTTTTTGTTTGGATTTTCCAAATAAATGTATTTGTTTGTATTATCGAACTATGGTGTGGGCTAATCATGGTGTAAGCAAGATTATATGACGCCATTTTGTCCACAAGTTCTATATCCAAATTCTAATTTATTTAGAAATTTAGCCTTCCCACCAGACATGAGAGCTTGTGAAGGAGACTGTGGCGGTCTTTAGAAACATTGAGCAGCATTAAAGGAAAATATTGTTTAAATTGTTTAATTATATTTTTCTAGAAACCTGAAGATATTGTTTCATCAAGCACTTCTCCTCAGATAGCAGAAAAAATATCAACAAGTAGGTTTTAGTGAAGAACTTAATTAAGAAGCCTACAATGTGGTGTTACCAACCGTTCAACGACGAATTAAAATGTCAAAAATAACCTACTTAGTACAAAGTAGGTTATAGCCACAAAATGGTGAAGCGACTGCTGGATGTCAAATTGCACGAATTGAATCGACAAATTTTGAAGGGTTTTAGATGTATTTTATAAAGAGTAATTTAAACTACAACAAAAAAGTTAAGCAAGGGGGGAGGGGTTGGGGAGGGAGGTACAGTAGCACAACATGAGTGTTAGAGGGGGCTTCGGGCTCCCCAGATACCCTGGTTTTTCGCAGCGCCCCCTTTGACTCCGAAATTTCGACCCATCAGTTATTTCGAGTTTCTTATTCGCGTTAAGTTGATATGTATTGTACATAAAAAATGATTTTCGTACATCAACATCGTTAGCAACAATGCAAACTAAAATTTAATGAGACAAGGAAGGCAGAATATTAATGAACGAAATAAATAGTAAAGAACTATACTAAATGCGGTCACTGAATAGAGGGCAAATTTTTCCAAAATTTGAACGTGTCCTTGCCTTAAATATTGCCCTACGCAACCAGGAACCACGGCAATTTGCAGTAATTCATTCTTATGAAACTCCGATCTACGTGAAATTACACATTACTCTCTCCATAACCGTCATTTAATAATCAGAACGTGGGCTGTCTTAAAACAGAAGGAACTCAACAAGCATATCCCTGTTTATTTGACGATATCTGAATCCTTTGGGATGACCCTTGAAGTAATATTGACGGCAGTAAAGCAAGGACTCGTTACTTAAATAGCGCGGGGATACTTGTAGTGTTACCATATACCATAACCAAAAAAAAATAACAAAAAAACCAGACGAAAATAAAGAATTTGTATTACAACTACGGCAATAGTTGTAAACAAAAGGGTTATTACATGTTTATTAATTTTATTCACTAGATATAGTTTTAAAGAATACTTCAGTATCGAGGTTCTATGGTGCAATTTATGTCCTACGACTACCCCGCGGTTTTTCTTATTTAGTAGTGGGGGTAGTATACCATCCACCGACAGCTGACGACAAACAAATGATCAAGTATCTAACTAATACTTTGTCAGAAATCGAAAGCTCTATGCCCAATGCTGCCACCATCCTTGCTGGAGATTTTAATCGCCTCAATATTGCCCAGATAACTATTCAATTTCATTTAAAGCAGCTAGTAAAATTCCCATTAGATTTTTAAATCTAATTTGGTCAGTATTAAAATACTGACCAACCTCAACAAATTTTACCAGGCTTCTACTAAAGATCCACCTTTCGGATTATCCGATCATAACACCGTCTCTATTACCCCTGGAAACCGTAAGAAGTCATACAATGCAAAAAGAGCAGTTACAGTTAGAGACATGAGACCGAGCTCAAGACAGGTCCTGGGAAGATTTCTAAGTAATATAGATTGGTTAGTTCTTGAGAATGTCGAAGATATAAACGAAAAATATGCTTTCTTTAGCAACATTATTATAATGGGTATGGATATTATTATGCCAGCAAAGACTATTAAGCTCCATATAAATGATGCTCCATGGATGACTGGTCATCTGAAGCACGTAATAAAGTGTCGCCAGAAAGCTTTAAAAGATAACTGTCCTACACAGTTTAAATTTTATCGTAACCAAGTTAATAGAAGGAGGAAACGTGTTTAAGCTAAATACTATGAATCAAAAGTAAAAGACCTTAAAAATATAGAGCCAAAGAAATGGTGGTCCGAGTGTAAAAAGTTATGTGGAATGTCAAGGCCAAACATTGATATTGCCTCCAAAGTTTTAGACGAATCACAGATAATCGAGGACAAAGTAAAACTGGCCAATGAGATCAATTTAGCTTTCCTAGAACCCCAGAAAAATTATTTTAAGCTTTTCTCTTCTTGCAAGATTAACACTTCCAGTCATCCAATTCCATCCGTGACCACAGAAATGATAGCCAAACAACTGAGCTCGATTAGTGTACATAAAGCGGCCGGTCCAGACAACATACCAAATTGGGTTTTAAAAGATTTTGCTCACATTTTGGCTCTACCTGTTTCTATGTTAATCAACGTGTCTTTCAAGAAGGAACAGTTACCACTTATCTGGAAATGCGCAAACATTACACCTTTACCAAAAAGTTCCACAGTAAACGATATTAACACTGATCTTAGACCTATCTCTTTAACCCATCTATATCGAAAATTGCTGAAGAGTACGTAGTGGTAAACCATGTTAACCCCGCCGTTATCAAGCACATCCGACCAGACCAGTACGTGTATCCCACATTCTTCAACAACCCACGCGTTAATCAACCTTATTCACCAATGGCCAAAAGCCACCGTCGGCTCGAGCTCAGAAGTGCGAGTGCTGATTATGGACTATAAGAAAGCTTTCGATCTGATCGATCATTCTCTGCTCATCACGAAATTAAAAGATTACGATATCAACCCCTATATCATCAATTGGATATGCGATTTCCTGATGGATAGACAACAAAGGGTAAAAATGGCAAATGATATATACTCGGAATGGAAAGATGTAGTCGCTGGCGTTCCGCAGAACACTAAATTAGGGCCATGGCTATTTTGAATAATGATCAACGACTTAGAAATATCCAGCGCTGATGGAAACGTAATATATGTTGACGATACAACCTCGTTCGAAATTGTAGAAAAGGATAAGTCAAGTTCAATGCAACTAATTTAATGGCCGATGAGGCATGCGCATCCGCTTGGTCTAACGACAATATGTTCCAAATCCAACCGAAAAATGTAAGGAATTGAGAATATCTTTCAAAAAAAGCCCTGGAACATATGAAAATATTACCATTAATGAAAACACAATAGACGTTGTTAAATCTGTCAAAATTCTAGGAGTTACATTGCAGGGTAATTTAAGGTGGAATGAACACATCAACAATTAACATCGTCAAAAAGGCGTCCAAAAGACTCTTTTTTCTGTCACAACTGAAAAGGGCAAAAGTACCATCTAACGACTTAGTCAACTTTTGCGTGACATGTATCCGTTCACTGTTACTATATTCTTGCCAAGTTTTCCATTTTAACCTCCCCGAGTCTTTAAACATTATGCTGGAACGAATTCAGAAACGAGCGTTGAATATCATATATGGTTATGTTGTAGCGATCTTTGTGATGAATTTTTTAACAAAATTGTAATGAACCCAAATGATGAACTTCATGTGCTTCCCACCGGGCACACGACGTTGTTTCAACGTTGAAATTTGGTAGAAAAAAGGTTGCGACGTCGACAACCTAATATCTACGTTGCTCTGACGTTGTTTTACAAACATTGGTTCAACAGCAGGCAACAGACGTTGAATTAACGTTCATTCATGGTTAAATGTACGACGTCGATTTGTGAACCAATCTCAACGTTGTTTTTACGTGGATTCAACGTTGAATTATGGTTGACGAGATTGGCAACCTAATTTCAACGTTGTTTCAACGTCGAAACAGTAACGTCGATCCAATTTCCATAGCCAACCCTTTTTCAACGTCTATCCAACGTCTGGAAGGTCATTTCTATCTATCTATCAATCTATCGATCTATCTATCTATCTATCTATCTATCAACGTTGGATAAACGTCATTTTGCCCGCTGGGTTCTGCCTTATAGCCTGAGCGTAATTTATTCGTTAAGGAACAAAATATATTTCACTATACCTATATGTAAAACGGACCGT